CGACCTCCCTCCCTGGCCCCCGCTCTGGCACTGGCAGTGGATCCGGCACTGGCAGTGGATCCGGCACTGGCAGTGGCTCTGGCACAGCCATTTGCTCTTCAACCACCTCCGTCACAACCTCCATCACAAGCTCTACTCCTGCCGCTCCACCCACCCCTGTTTGCCAACAGAAAATAGTCACCATCATAGAGGAGATGGTGAATGGAGTAGTGGTGAGCAAATCCTCCTCAGAGACCATCAAGGAAAAAGATGTAAAACCAGGGGACATGACGGCTCTCAAAGCTAAAATACAGAAATAAGCATGCAAATATAATTCAGTTGAATTCCTTCAAAATACACCCTTGTGTGTTATGTTTTGTTCAATGTGAATTATGTCTGCAGTTCCTATAAGAAAAAGCATAAATAAAAGGAATTGTATTTTTACAATTGAAGTCTTCACAAATAAATTCACTTTGTCTAATGAGTCTGGAATGTGATTTTGAAAATCCTTCTTTCATTAAAAGAACAGGGCAACACAGAAAATAAAAAATGATGGCCTGAGTAGCCCACAATTGATCAGTCCATATACATCAAGCAATGAAGGTCCAAGAGTGGTCAAAATTAGGTTGCCACATCAGGACGTCATATGGGCCATAAGTTATGCCTCAGTCAGTCAAATGACCACAGTTGGCTGGTACAAGTATGTTTTAGTTCTGGCAGTACTAGAGCATTACTACCATGTTGCATGCAGAACTCACATCTTACCCTAACCCTTGAGAGACAGTATAGTGCATTAGATTTTTTCTGACAAGCAAGGTATAAAAATTGGTGATTAGAAAGACTGATTGTTTTTGACTGGTGTGATGTGTCTATGTACTAGTTTTGTTTCTTTGTTTGGTGCTTAGGGTTGCTCTCAAGTTGCTCTTCCAACTTCTGATGTGGGAGGCTATTGTTCACAGTCAGCAAGTTCTGATCAAGGCCTATGCATTTGGTCCATCATCAATATCTGATCGGTTAAAATACTCCACAAGAAGGCTGAAGAAAACAAGCAATCAGAACCAGTAACCATATGACTACACCAGGTTTAGCTCATTACCGTCAGCACCACTTTGTCTTTTATTTTAAACCATGAAGCACCCACTGATCCACCAGTAGACTATCACCAGCTCACCATTACCGTTTTTCTCTATCGCTTTCATTCATTTCTCACAACAGAATTGAAGTTTGCAGATCTCCAAGTGCATTTCTCAAAACAACACGTACAAACTGGACAACATAGTGGATAACCAGAAAAAGCGCGTCACCTGCTCAAAATGCTTTGTCTATCGTGCAAAAGTGTGTTTTTTCATCAATCATTGTGTCAGAGGCAGCAGAATCCCATGTCATTTCCTCAACAATGTGAACGTGACAGGCAAAATTATTAGTCATGTTGTCAGTAGAACATCATACTCAGTTTTTGTTATTTACTGTAAACTATACTCAACTCAGGTTTTGATGACTAGAAACCACTAAATTACCGTACTGGTGTGTGTCATAATTTACAGTGTCCCTCCGGTAAAAAAAAGAAGTGATTCTTGCAAACCATTGTGCATCAACCAGGTGTTGCAGTAATTTACATGGTAAGAATAGATAATTTTCTGAATGATTCCATCTAACCTCATCTAACCAATCACCATCGCCCCACGTTACAGTATATGGAAGAATCGAAACAAAAGATCAGACTGTACTCACATTTCTACTGTACTGTCAATAGTGGTACTTACATACAGACAACAAAGGAAACTATACATAGTCTATTTACCTAGCAATGGAAACATACTGTAAAAAAGACAAAGTGGGAAGAACTATACATGTACAACAGAAGGTAAAGGTGAGATTACGTGGCAGTTTTCCTATGCGTCATGTTGGTCCTGTCTGTTGGGCCACAGATTCTCATCCACATCACAACATATATTTTGTCTTGCTATGCACCGTGGAAAGAATCTTCTTGAGTGCCTAATCCAGCCTCTGCATGCATCTGCTGAGATGTCCTCACATGCTGCATCCATGGCAGCCAGCAGTGTCATCCGCGTATGTGGCTGATGATCATAAACTTTCCACCGCCAAGCCGAGAAAAACTCTTCAATTGGGTTCAGGAATGGGGAGTAGGGTGGAAGGAATTCAATCAGCATCCTGCGGTGGTGGACAAACCACTGCCTGATGTTGTCAGAGCGATGGAAACTGACATTATCACAAATTACTACATACTTTGGTACATCATCTTGATTGAGGTCCCTCTCCTCTTCAGGAATGACATTTCTATAGAGATTGTCTAAGAATGTAAGGAGATGCTGTGTGTTGTACGGTCCCATAATAGGAATATGAGCTAGCACACCTTGGTCTGACATAGCAGCACACATAGTGATGTTTCCTCCCCGTTGGCCTGGGACATCAACAGTAGCTCTCTGGCCGATTAGATTTCTACCACGCCTTCTGCCTTTGGCCAGGTTGAAGCCAGCCTCATCCAAGTATATGAAGTTGTGAGGTGGTTCTCTTCGTTAACGAAGGTGAAGACTCACCTGAGAGCAATTTCTCAATTCTGGACATATTTCTTAGCAAACATCTACTCACACTTTGTAGAAATCTGTACAGACATACAATTCTGAGAACATGTTCACTCATTTTGATAGTACAGACTTCCAACCTGAAAAAAAGACTAATTGGTTTGGTGGTTGTGACATTTCAGCTGAGAACCAGGACAAGTTATTTTGCACAGCTGGACAAAAGCAACAAGAATTGTCAAAAACAGCTGACAGATGTACAGAACCATTTGCATGTTGTCCAAAAGCAATTGCAATTTGATGAAAACAACAAGAAATTGCTGATATGATGTGAACAACTGACAACAGAATCTGACAGTTGAATGAGTAGTTCTGAGAAATGCAGTTCTGTTGTGAGAAATGAATGAAAGCGATAGAGAAAAACTGTAATACAGACTTCCAACCTGAAAAAAAGACTAATTGGTTTGGTGGTTGTGACATTTCAGCTGAGAACCAGGACAAGTTATTTTGCATAGCTGGACAAAAGCAACAAGAATTGTCAAAAACAGCTGACAGATGTACAGAACCATTTGCATGTTGTCCAAAAGCAATTGCAATTTGATGAAAACAACAAGAAATTGCTGATATGATGTGAACAACTGACAACAGAATCTGACGGTTGAACGAGTAGTTCTGAGAAATGCAGTTCTGTTGTGAGAAATGAATGAAAGCGATAGATAAAAACTGTAATGTACCAATATATATTTTTTGTCTATACAAACATTTTTTGTCACCTTTTTCCATTGTTTAACCACCTTGAAGCTCTTATTGGAACGTGCTAAAAAATTAACAAAACATATCACAATCACAATCAGAATCAGCTGATGATCCATTGACAGGTGGGGAGAGGCACAGTGAGCTGGGTCAGTTTAGAGTGGAGGATGTCCAAGATGTTAGTGCTGAATACCGAGCTGAAGTCCACAAAGAGGACCTGTGCATAGGTCCCTGAGGAGTCAAGGTGTTGCAAGATGTAATACAGTGCCATGTTGATTGCATCATCCATTGACCTGTTTACCTGGTAGGCAAACTGTAGGAGGTCCAGCAGAGGGTCTACAGTGTCCTACAGTTGGGCCAACACCAGTCTCTCAAAGCACTTCATAACTACAGATGACAGGGTGACCGGTCTGTGGTCGTTCAGTCCACTGATGGAGAGTTTCTTTGGGACTGGGATGATGGTGGAGCATTTGAAGCAGGAGGGGACTTCACACAGCTCCAGTGATTTGTTAAAGATCTGTGTGAAGATGGAGGCCAGCTGATTGGCACAAGCTTCCAGGCAGGAGGGGGTCACACTATCTGGTCCTGGTGCCTTTTATGCTATTTTGTTTTTGAAAAAAGGCCATGCACATTCTTTTCACAGACCTTCAGGGGTTGGGGGGTGCTGGGGGGAAGAGAGGTGATTGTGGGGGAGCAGCTGCTGGGTCTGAGGTGAGGTGGGTGAGGGGTATGGATTTCTGCTTCTCAAACCTAGAGTAAAGCTGGCCTGTTGCTCTGACTTTGCCTGCTCAGTCCATCTCTTCTCTGCTTTGACCACAAGCTTTACAGCTTCAAGTTTCTGCCTATAGATTGTGATGAGATGGACCATGCAGTGTTCAGAGAGACTGATCTGCACAGGGGACAGAGCAATAAATGTCTTTTATTACTGTGTAGCAGAGGTCCAATACGTTTTTGTCCCTTGTGGAACAACTGAAGTGCTGTCTGTATTTGTGCAGTCCATGGGTGAGATTTGCTGTGTTAAAATCCCCTAGAACAATGAGTGGGGAGTCAGGATGTTTCAGTTCCGTGTTAGTTATCTGTTGGGCCAGGTGCTGTAGTGTGCTAGCGTGGACCTGCAGTCTTATTTACACTCCAACCAGAATGAAAAAATTCTCTGGAAGAATAAAATGGTCTGCAGTTGAATAAAAGAGTCTCCAAGTCTGTTTTGCAAGACCTTTCTACCACTGTGACATCATTACACCAACCTTAATTTATCTAGAAGCAAATTCCACCTCCTCTCCCTTTCCCAGATACAATAACTATGATGGGGAAAATCAAGGTGACCTGGTGCCTGCTTCTCATGTAGCTCAGGAGTGGTGTGTCCTGCATGGCATGAAAACTCCAGGGGTGGACAGCTCAATTCAGTTAGATCACTAAGAAATATTAATTCCAGCCTTAGAGAAGGTTTGGGGCTACCTAAATGCTGGTGGAAGTGAAGCTCAAAGTTGAGGCACCTCAAATGATGCTCAAGAGTGAGATGAATGTTACAATGCCTTACATGACTCCTGAAGCTGCTGCTGGGGGCCTCTTCATAGTTGGATAGTTTGCATTTTTAGTCTCCTTTACTACTGTGGTGGAAATGATATAAAATCAACTATGAATCAAGTGTAATTTAAATGAGAGATGCTCTTTATGTTTTTTATTGGATAATAAACCTCCTACACCAGAGAAGTATGTAGAGGGGTGATTCTATATTGAACCTCCAGGCGTGAGAGGCTGCAGACTGTCTGTACTTTGCAATCTGAGTGTGACAAAGGTGGTGCACGAAACTTATGTCTACATGATTTGATTATGTCCACATACTATCATAACAAGATTATAAGCAGGGAGTGATCTTGCTCTACTTTGCTCTGTGCTGTGCAGACTATACATATACATATATATATGTATATA